TTGGGCTGCAGGAGCTTGTTTGGGTCGGTTATCGAAGATTTTATTGACCACGTCTTCGGCCGAGACGCCGAAGAAGTCGCGGGTGTACTCTTCCCACCAATCCCCAAAGGTGTCAGTACCCAGAGATTTAGGAATGGTCAGTCGGAGCTGAAATTTTTTACACTTATCCTGAAACTTTTGTTCCGTTGTTTTACACTTCCTCTCGGAGGAACCAGAAAGGCGTCCTCGACTTAAGAGGGAACGAGAAGCGAGCAGGGGTACTAGGCAACCTTAGAGGTAACCGAGCTGCCAGGCGACAAAATGAGGATGATAGACCTCCCAACTAGCTCAGCGAGCGTCGCAACAGAGGGGAAGGTCGCGGGTCAATACGAACAGCCCTTAGTGTTAAAAAAATCAACATATTCGGTCTCATCCCATGCTGTCTTCGGAAGCCTGATCGAGGCAGGGTATTTCTGACGCCGACATACTAAGAACTCGTTGTCAGCAAGGACGTCCAGGCCAAAAAAGTGTTTAAGGACTTCGTCAGCCCGGTGAGGAGGCGCTTGTCGAGAGACCAATTAAGGACCAAACGCTGCAGTAGGTTAGAAAGCGAGGACTTCGGGTCGAAGTGTGGAGAAATAAACCTGCAACCAGATTTGGAATACTTAGAAGGGTCCGTTCTGGTGCGGGTCAATTTTGTTGATGGTTGTTTCGGCCAAACAACGGAAGAGATTGGTGAGGATGGCCGGACTGAGCACCAAGGAGTGACCACTAGCCAAGGCTTGAGCCACCGGCATGTTCTCGACCAAACATTTGTTCGACCGGGTACAACAGATGAATTTGTTGTACCAGTAGAATATGAAGGCTTTATGTTCTCCCTTCCTAAGACTCTCCTCGCCTCGGCCAGTGAAGTGGAGGATGAGGGTGTTGTAGTTGAAGAAGTTCTTGTGTAGCTTTTGAACTTCTTCTTTTGAAGCCTTTCGATCTCCTTGGCTAAGTGTCTCGACGACCCGATCGTCGAACAGTGCTTTGAGGTCGAGGTTTGACAGGCACCCGGAAAAGGCAGCATCTATTGGGAGACTAGATGGGGAAGTCCCAAGGATAGCTGAAATATCAAAGACAGTGAGGCTGAGAGGGCCGAAAGGAAGGATCATGGTGTTGATGGCCGAACACCACAAACTCAGGGCCTGCCATGAGCAGCTTTTTATCCATGGTAATCTCTATGGTCGAGAGGTTGATGGTGTTGTAAATGTCGAGAGCTTCCCATTCTTGGGCGAAGAATGTTTCTATTTGGTCGACTTAAGCTGCCCAAGCTGCAGTGGTTGAAGGCCAAGCTCCCTAGGGCCGTGCCAAGCACCATTTCAACCAGTCAAACCCTTGCAGCAAAGGTGTTAGGCACTGGTCCTTGAGGAGGTTGGTGATGCACGATGGCACTGCATCTTTAAAAAGTGGCCCTAGAATTTGATGAGTGGTGGTTAAGTCATTTTCGAAGCTTAGCATTTTGATAGCGCTCCGATCGATGAAATCTTTGCATTTGTTGCACTCATCAGAGAGCTTTGAGATGGAGGAGGCCATTGGTAAGGATTCAAAGGTTCGCGTAGGATGAGAAGGGGTTTGTGAGAGGTAAGCTTGAGGTTTTCTAGTTTAGCAAGAAAGAATGGCAAAAGGAAGTTTCAAAGTTTCTGAAGGCGTGGGATGTGAATGAAAGAAATTTAGGTATTTATAGGCAGTTCAGAAAGAAGATCAAACGTTTGGTATTTGGAAACACTAGATTTTTGAATTTGGGGGAAAATTAACCGGGAAATGGCCAATCATTTCGGATATCTTGGGAATCTTCAAGGATAGAATCGAGGGTTTCGAGGATTTAGGACGCACGATTGTATACGGCGGCGGTTTTAATGCATTAATGAGGAAGAGACGTTTCGACGAGCGCACGTTTTTTAGGGCCATGATTGAGAGTTGTTAGGTTTATCGGAGGATCGACACGTGGCAGTACATCGGGAGTAACGAAGATCGTGCAATCATATTTGATAAATGCGCATGGTAGTGGTTATCAAGAACAGTTAAGTCTAAAGGCAAAAGATATTTTCACTTCTTCAAGGTCGAGATCCGACCAAAGGTTGGCAGTCGACGACCTCAGAAGCGAGGGGGCAATGTTTGGGCCCAAAATAATATTGTTGGGCCGAGTGTAGGTTTGTGCTCGGCCCAAAACGGTGTCAAAAGTACTATGGGCTATGGTGATTCTGGGCCATTCAGCAGGGATGGTCGAGTCCTATCACAAGAAGAAGTAGTTCAGATAAGCAAAAGGGTCGAGGAAGTCCTAGTGCAATTAGGATTCTCGACCAACAATGAATAAAGCCCTAAAAAGGGGTGAGTTCAAAGTCCTAGTGGGAGTAGGATTGTTCGAAGCAAAGTTGGAACAAAACAAGGAATCCCTGTCCGGATATGAGTTTAATTCAATCTTAAGGAGTTGGTGCTATAAATACAAGACATCATGCAACAATTCGGGACCTCCAATTCAACACACAATTTCCTTGCGCAAAGCTTCTCAAACATTTTGAGATTTTTCCTTTTCTTTTTCTCGCCGACGCATCTTCAGTTTGGATAAACAGCACTGTGGAGGCAACCGGCGAACACCTTTAGTTTGGATAAACAGCACTGTTGCCGTAGAATTAGACGATCAAGGAGCACCTTCAGTTTGGATAAATAGCACTGTGCTGAGGCCGACTGGTTATCTATCCAAGTCTCGGTCGAGAAGGGTTTTCGAATCTTTTTTGGCAGAGATCATTTTATTAGCCTTCTTGGCAAAGTAAGGTGTTACGAGTTACGACATTCTGCGTAAGGGACGCCAAGTGATTTTATGATTGGATACTCATAAGTGAGTATCAAAGTTCGGCATTCTGATGGCCGAACCACATTCACCATCAAGACATACATCACCTTTGAATATTTGTGTCTGTATAGTCTGGTGTCTATTCGACGTGCTTATACTCTTACGAATATAATTACGGTGACCAAATCAGGCGTTGACGATTTGTGAACTTCACAGAGCTAGCAGCCTTGTCTTCAGGCTCTAGAACCCGAAGACTGAGAGTGTTCCTTCCTCGGTCGCAGTCGCAAGGTAAAGAAGTCAGCAACACGGTCAATGCAACATCAACAAATTTTACTCCTCAGCTGGGCTCAGCCGATGAATTGGCACGCCCTGCATTCAACCGAATGACGTAGTTAGTGAAGGAAGATTTGTGAAAAACATGTTCATTTAAGCAACATCAATAGCATGCAATTAACAATTAAAGGCGGAATCATGCTTGTATGCACTTAAAAACAAAACATTTACCCATGAAATTCAAAGCCTAGTAGATAGGTGAACCAAGACTCAACTCAAAACAAAGTGAGTTGAGAAATCAATACCTTTGTAGATTCCTCTTTGCATAAGCAAAGGCTAATCACCCAAAGAGAGGGCCTTCATTCCTTGCATCTTAGATCCATGGATTTGGATGGATGAAAAGGTTTCTCCAAGTTCCCAAAATTGAGAACCTCCAATGATTCATCACCAAGGCATAATGAAGAAGAAATGAGTGACCTTGGAGGAGTTTGATTGCTAGATGATCCCTCCAAGGTGGCCTAAATTTTAGAGAGAAATGAGAGCTTGTGTTCTCATCCTTTCCCCAAAAATTACCATATATAAATTTTTAGGCTATAAAGTCCTTTATATAGTCCCTTCAAATAAGTGACCTAATGGACCAAAAGCCCTATTCTTCTAACATGGCAAGCCTATGGGGTTTATTGGGCTTTCAAGCCCTTTGTTTATTCAAGTTGTCATACAACTTGAGTTAATGGGCTTGACATTCAAATCTCATTGGGCCTTGCGGCCCAAAACTAACCCGAGGTCTTTAACGAACTTATTCGTTTGATTAATTAACATATTAATTAATCCTAGCCTTAGATAAATAATTAAACCATTTAATTATTCTTACTTATCTCCGTTGTTTCTTCAAACTCTACCTTACTCGGTGAACGATCCATTAGGTTCCTTTTAGCGAGGCAGTGGGCGATTAAAACTCTTTCTAATCGATTGTGAATTGAAACTTACTTTCAATTCTCCCGTTAGTGATAATACACTTTTAGGGCTTCCACAAACCATGGTTGACGCCTAGCAGCATGTCATGGTTACCCAAGCTAATCAGAAGAGGTGGAGAACCTATTCAGTTTTAGGATTACAAATGCAATACGGTCTTTCTCTAATACAATACTCTTGACCACATTGTTTGGTTTGATAGTTTATTCATGTCTACTATCCAATGTGAGTCTTGTGCTTATATGATTACCTTGAATGTGATTTGGAACACATTCCTAAATCTCATTCATACTTTGGCCAAAGATTCTTAATCATATCATAGAGTATTCTCTCTCAAACAGTTTGAAGGTTAGAGATCCCTTGTTGCGCATTCACTTGCCTCCATGGCTAAGTGGCTTAACCCCAACGATGCCATGGACACCCTCCTGATGGAGTGACTTTGACATAATCAAAGATTAAGGACCTAACCACAAGACAACTGTGATGCCTCAGGTCAAAAGACTAATTTGCATTATCCCAACCATGAGTTCTCATGTGACATGAATATGAGAACTCTTCGTTGATCGTGTTCAGTGAACTCATTCTCTATTGAGCACCTACGTACTTGTCTTGATGTCACACACACCAATGACTCGAGACTAGTCACTCTCCCTGAGAGAAGACATAGCACGTACTGATCTTAACGGACTGTCAATGCCCAATTGACAATCCTATGATCAGGAACGTTAAGGATGTGTCAACGAAAGAATGGTCTCATGAATCTAACTTCTTTAGATCGCATTCTTCCAATCACATATTCCTTGGACTTATCGTTTAAGCATATAACATTTATATGAGATGGCTCAAACAATTATTAATTACTAGGTCTGCGCACCACGTAGGCTTTGTAATTTTTAGGACCAACAACACCCCATTAACCTTGAACTATCATGCTAATTTTCATGCAAAATTCTTTTGTCGCAACTGCAAACTAGGGGTTTCGTTGCAATTATTCTCTCTATAAGTACGCATTGATAATTTTCATCTTTCAGTTCGTGTGCTAATAGAATTCTGATTTCTTCTATTCCGCAATTTTGATCGTGAAGTTACGGTTTTCTGAATCGTTCCCTGTTCAATTCGTGAAAAGGGGTCTTTTGTTTGGGTTTGTTTTGGGGAATTTGTGGAGTTTTGGGCAATTCGACTGCGAAAACCATGCCTCCGAGGACGGTGAAGAGAGGTGCGGCGGCGGGAGCCAAGAGGACGACCAGAGTCACAAGGGGGACGAACAAGGCCCAGAACCAGGTCCAGCATGAGGCTCCTGACGAGTCGGCGAGGGCCGAAGTCGAGGATGCGGTGCCGATGATGGAAACTAAAGAGGATCTCAATGTTGAAGAGATTAAGGAGAAGCCAATTGAGGCGTACAACCCGGTGGTTGTCGTGGAGAAATCAGTTGTTGATGAAAAAGCTTCCATTATTGATCAGCCAGGGCCTTCAGAGATGGAAGTCCAAGCGAATGCAGAGCAGAACGGATTAAAAAGTTAGTTTTTTGTTTTCCGGATTATTGAATTTGGTTGGAACTTGACTGGATTAAGTAATTTGCTTTCGATTTTCCCGTGCTCTATGTTTTTGCATGATTTTATGTATGTTTATAAAATGTGGTTTTCGATTGAGATTTTGTTTTCCGGATTATTGAATTTGGTGAGAACTTGATTGGAACAAGCTTAATTTTTTTGTTCGGAAAATGGTAGAGAATGACTAAATCAACTAAGGGCAATGATTTAGAAAGATTCCAAAGGAAAATTTTGTTTGAATTTGAAGATTTTAATTACACATTCGTAAATGTCTACACAGACATTGAGGAATTTATTTTTATGAATCTGGTAATGCTTGCTTTTCCATGTACTTAGATGGCTTTTATTAGAAGTAGCCAACTTGTTCTTTCAAGAGTAATTAGTTCTTGGGTGGAGCTTAGAATTCAGTGTGAGCGTAGTGGATTGTTGACTTAGTTCTTGTTCGGATATGTGTCAAAAAGTTTGGTTTATATATGGATCAAGGTTGACAGTGTAAGCAGTGTAAACATGGTCATACACTTTCCTCTTTGTTTTTAGCTCGGCTGTCTAATAAGCAAAGGTTTATGCGATGAGCATAGACTGGACGTTTAAGCCTTTTTAAGTGTGGATCGTGACTGTTTTGGATCATTTTTGCTTTTATACATTTTTAATCAATCATCAGAAGAAGAATTAGGCCAAAAATTAGGATACATTCTGGGAAAATAAAACTTCATATGGAAGCAATAAGCATAGAATGACACTTCAGGCATTGTAAACTAAAATGTAGATCATGCTTCTTTTATGGGATCTGTTATGTGTTAATATAAACATGGTATTTTTCACACTGTGTTTATCTGAGATGGACAAGGACCTTATTAAATTCTGAACTCTGCTTGATCATAATATAGAATTTTATCGCAGAACAAGATAAGGTTAGGGAGTCTATAGATGATTATGAAAAAGATGAACGATTAGAGCTGGAGGATAATGAAGCTGAGTATGAACCTGAAGAAGATGGTGGGATTGATTATGATGAGAAGGAAATGGAGCAAGGGGATGTCCAGGAGGTTGGGGATGAAGGAGATGAAGAACCCGAGGAGATTGTAGGTGAAGAAGAAGGTGACATGGCCGAGGAGGAGTTGGAAGATGTTCACGAAGAACTCGAGGGTGAAGAGTATGAGGAGCATGAGCATGCAGAGATGGTTGACAAGGAAGAGGAGCACCATGAACTTGTAAAGGAGAGACAGAAGCGCAAGGAGTTTGAAGTATTTGTTGGTGGTCTAGACAAGGATGCAAGTGTGGCTGATCTTAGGAAAGCTTTTGCTGGTGTTGGTGAAGTTACTGAGGTCAGGCTGATGATGAACCCTCAGACTAAGAAGAACAAGGGATTTGCATTCTTGCATTTTGCAACTGTGGAACAAGCAAGACGAGCAGTTGCAGAGCTTAAACATCTTCTGGTAATTTTCAATCCCTTCGTAGTTTGAGTGGAAACTGGTTTCTTAGCTTTTTGAAATTCTTTGAATTATTGCAATTCCAGATTAATGGAAAACAGTGTGGTGTTACTCCAAGTCAAGACAGTGATACTCTTTTTCTGGGTAACATATGCAAGACATGGACAAAGAATGCTGTAAGTATATTGGCTTGCGTCATTTCAAAATTCTCTGACTTATGAGGAGTTGCTTAAAAGTTTCAAACTTCTTTTGATGGCTGTGGTTCCAGTTGAGAGAGAAGTTGAAACATTATGGAGTACATAATGTTGAGGATTTGACAGTGGTCAAAGATACTAACAATGAGGGAATGAATCGGGGCTTTGCTTTTTTGGAGTTTTCATCTCGTTCAGATGCCATGGATGCTTTTAAGCGACTTCAGAAAAGAGATATCGTGTTTGGAGTTGATAGGCCTGCAAAAGTTTCTTTTGCAGATTCCTTCATTGATCCTGGTGATGAAATCACGGCACAGGTAACGTAAATTTTCTGCTGTATTATACAAGCGATAGGATTTCTGGATGGTTTATCTTTCTCGCGATCATTTCTTTTGTGTTGGTGTATGAACTCATAACATCTATTTTTTCCATGAGTTTATGTCATCCTGGATAAATTGTCTGTGTGATCATTTTTTATGTTATGGGAGATGATAGAGTTACAATATGCCCATTGATAATTTTTGTACAAGTAATTTTTCTAGTTTTGTTCGACAAATTACCATAGCCTCTATAAAACGTTAGATTAGATTCTTTGGAGTTGGTTTTTCATGTAACATTATCTTATTTCTGTGTTACTTGTTTTCTAGCAATCTTGTTAGTCTTTATCCTCAATTGACAATAATAAAGTTAATCATGTATGGGAAAGCAGTTGTGAGATTGTTTCTTTGATATAGTGTTATTTAGAGGAGTATAGGTGATTGTTGGAGCTGCTGATCAAATATCTTGACATGCAGGTGAAAACTGTGTTTGTGGATGGCCTACCTGCTTCATGGGATGAGGATCATGTCCGAGATCTTGTTAAGGAATATGGGGATGTTGAAAAGATTGAGCTGGCGCGTAACATGCCCTCTGCTAAGAGGAAAGATTTTGGTTTTGTTACATTTGACACTCATGAGGCTGCAGTTACATGTGCTAAAAGCATTAACAATGCAGAGCTAGGTGAAGGAGACAGCAAGGTGTGTTGGCTGATGACAGTTAATTCAATTAGACATTACTGATGGAAGCCTTTATGTATTGGCATTTGTTGGACATGAATTTATGGATAATTATGGTCATTCTTAGGCGAAAGTCAGGGCGAGGTTATCAAGACCGCTTCAGAGGGGTAAAGGAAGACATGTTGGACGCGGAGATTATCGATCTTCAAGGGGGGTTGGACGAGTTGTTAGGGGTTCATGGGGTCACCCAGCATCGCGTGGGTTAAGGGGAGTTGGAAGTCGAATTACACCAGCCAGTGTAAAGAGGCCTGTTGAGCTAAGAGATAGACGCCCTATGATGTCATCTTATCCACCAAGAGGCAGGCCTTTGCCTCCTCCAGTTAGGTCCTATGACAGGAGACCACCTGGTATGCAATATTTTAATTTATAATGGCTAATTGTTTGTGTTGCAACTTTTATCACATGAATAATTATATATTTTCTATACATTTTTTAAACAGTTCCAGCTTACCCAAAGAGTAGCTTCAAGAGGGAATATAGTAGGCGCGAGGACCTTCCTCCAAGGAGTAGAGCAGCCTCTGATTATGGATCAAGGGCTGTTCAAGAAAGACGCCAATCGTACAGAGATGACTACACTCTGCGTGGTCCTGCCTACTCTGATCCACCGAGAAGTACCTCTCATACAGCAGGAAGGAGAGCTTATGTTGATGAAGGTTATGGACAGCGATATGAAAGGCATCCTCCCCCTCCTCCTCCAAGTTACCGTGAAGGGCGTGCACGTGAATATGACTCTATTTCTGGTTCAAAACGTCCTTACGCTGCACTGGTTAGTGTTGATGACGACATTTATGCAATTCACTTGGTCTTCTCTGCTAGGATATGAAGTAGGCTTAAAGTCTTCTTCCACATGTTTTGTGTTCTAGGATGATGTTCCTCCCCGTTATGCTGATGTGCCCATCTGCCAATCCAGGGCACGGTTAGACTATGAGTATGGAAGTGGTTCATCTCAATATGGGGATGGCTATAGTGACAGGTTTGTTCTTTAAATTGTAACATTTTTAACTTTTTGTTATCTCATGTATGGATGCATTAACGTACCTTTGTTGTGTATAATAGACTTGGGAGATCTAGTATGGGATATGGAAGCAGCAGAACAAGTCAGCATTCTCATGGACTATACAGCAGTCGTCAGGGCATGGACTATGGAGGAGGTGCTTTGCAATCTCCGGCTATCTGATAGCTATAGTGTTATTGTTGATATCATAGAATTAAAGGTCGAAGTTTTTTACTTTCTTTTTCAGATTCTTATGGTGGCCATGATGGTGGTGGAATGTACTCTTCAAGAGATGGTGGTGATTTTATATCTCGTGGCAGTGATGTATGTACCTAATCTGATTTGGTTCAAGGACAAGAATAGTTGTGTTTAGCTGTCTTATGTACCATTATTTTTTGATTCTCCATTGTAGGTTGGAGGTAGCTCTTACTCATCAATGTACTCTGGCCGTGGTGTGGGTGGAAGCAGTTATATGGGTTCAGGCGGTTCTGGCTCATACTACTGAGGTAATTTGGATTTATTTATTTATTTTTATTTTTATGTTTTATAAAGTGTGATGTGTGCATAATTATGAAAGCGATGCGCATGAGTCATTATTACTATTTTCCCACTGGAGATATATTTTCTTCCGAAGGCACATCATCTCTTCTTTTGCTCTAAGAGTTCATTGGTGAAAACAGAGCAATATATGGTTACAAGTGAATTTGTCTATGGAACAGATCTGACATGACGAAGAGGATGCTGTAGAATGTGGACTGTATGAAGCTTTTCCATTACGTTGCTTAGAGTTATGGACAGACAGAATTTCCCTAAGAACCTTATGTGTGTGAGAGGATCCTTCATTGCATACAATAAGGTTGTAGTGGTTCAAGCCCTCTTAGATTTCCAGAGATCAGTTAAATGTGCCAGGCTGTAGATATTTTGCTGCAAGGAAACTCAAGTTATTCAAAGATGAGACATTCAAGTGCTTAGTTTATGACGTGCCTTCCACTTTATCTTCTAGAAGAACTGCACCTGACGGAAAATTTGGAGTCCTGGTGCATACTTCCTTTGTTCTTATGAATAGATAAGATTATAACGAGAGAATGAGGATTTTCTTAATGTGATTATAAGGTATTTTGGATATTTTTTATGCTGAATCATTTGGAAAGGTTTGAATAATAAAAGCATTATGGCCATTTAGATCACTTAACATTTCAGTTCCATATCATTCAAAACGCCTCAGTGGGTTAACTCGGAACTGAAGGCTATAAGGAAAGATTTAACTTGCTTGGAATTGTTCGAGATTGGGGTCCAAGAAGCTTGACCTGTAATCTCTGGCCAGGTGTGTAAGTTGTAGTTACCATGTGAGTTAAACTTGCAATGTTGACATATTTGTTGATATTTAAGGAAACATATTGGGAAATTAGGAAGGAGGATGAGTAGAAGACAGGTTCATATTCTTTTTCACTTCCCAAGGAGTATTCGCTTTAGTGGTAAAATAATTTTACATCGGTTGCCAAGGACTGTTTCCGTTGCCTACTTTTCGTGAACAGAAAGAACACTGTTGCTGCTCTATTATCTGGATTGCAGAAAGTCGATATTGTAAAAATGAGATGCAGCTGGTAAGTATTACATTTTGTAGAAGCACCCCATTATATGTGGGGGGATCACTTGGGCATGTCTAAGGGAGTCTAAAGTTTTGGTTAAAAACTCCGTTACAAGCAGTTCTTGCGGACTAAAAGCTACTGAATCTTGGAGGTCTTCTTGTCCTTGTATTGCTCATTAGGGCATATTTAAGGACTAGGACAGGTTAGTTCTTTTCAAATCACTCTCGATAAACTCGTTTTGATTGCTCAAGCGTATCCAAGGTACTACTTGCTGGTTGGAAGCTGTTTCAATTGAAGGGTTTCGTTTTGATATGCTTTCAATATAGATGCCAGTGTTGTGTTGGGATTCGGATGCAACTGAATGCTGGATTGGATTTTAGGTGCATATATACTTTTCGGCATGTATACTTAGAATTGTTTCTTTCACTTGTGAAATACGACAACCTTATTGTTAGTTTGGTGAAGTCTGGACAGAGTCCTCGTTTTTCATTGGCATTGTATTGTACTTGGTATAAAATTTGCAGGACACAACTTAATAAAAGTTTGAGTTCAACTCTCTCTCTCTCTCTCTCTCTCTCTCTCTCTTGGAAGAATGGTTGGATGTGTTTTTTTTTTTTCAAACGAGTATTAAGTATTTTAGTTATATGCATCATCGGCTGTGAAAACTATGAATTTGTTTCAAATTAAATACAAAACAATAAAACTGAATTGGACAATCCGTTCTGGACACCGGAATGATGTAACTGCGGTCTGGACAAGACTCGTGTACAATCCGTTCAAGTATGCCTGTCTATCGTTCCAAGAGACGGTGCGTTTCACCGGGAGGACCTGCACTAATCCTTTTCTAAGAATCCAACCTGAGGATGTAAACCTCGGCACAAATCCAAACACTAAGCATATGTTCACCACAAAAGACTGGCCGCAAGTTATCTGTACTGCCGGTGTGGACAAGTACATAATCATAACTACTTTTCTCTACTAATCAAAGAATAACAGGATTTGCAAACACATCGGAACTTCAATAGAGTGTAAACATGAAATGCCTACGACAAATGAAACAAGAACACTTGTACAAAATAATGATTTGTATTAAATGAGAAATTAGGGTTACAATCTTTGATTACAAAATTGATCATTTGATTCGATCTTTGGGATGCAAAGTGTGTGTAGGGTGGTTGATCCAAGGGTCGTAGTGACTTGTTATCGAATCAACGAACGCTGCAAGAGTTTGGCTTGAGGCGATGGAGGAACCAACATGTGTAGTGGTGCTTGATGGTTCTTTTACGAGTGTGGTGAAGAATGCATAGAACTTGCTGAGTCTTCTGAGTGTGTAAAGGGTTGGGGAGTTTGAGTGTCTTGAGTGTGAGGATGTATGTGTGAGGACTTGCTTTGTTTTTGTATCAAGTCGTAGAATTCAATTCAAGGGCAAGGGACTTTTGTTCTTGAATCAGGCTAGAAGTTTCTTCAAGGGCAGTTGAAGCTTGAACTTAAACGAAACGGGACCACGAGGAGTTTCATGTGGTGAGTCATCTTCAACTTCAGTGGGAATGAGTCGGCATGTGCTTGTTGTATTTGTTGATTCTCCATGAGCTTGATAAAGGATACGAGTGTTTAGGTATTTAGATTTGGCTTTAGTTGTGATTGTGGCTGCATCTAGAATTTGCTAGACTGCCAACGTACACTTTGTGGGATCAAACCAACGTAGTTCAAAGTTGCAAACTTGAGTGCAGCTTTGTGCTTGTTGGAATTTCTTCGCGGCTTTGTGACATTTTGATTAATTTAGTAATTACCGGGAATTTGACCCATTAACTTGACGTGGTTCGAAACCACGAAATTTGAAAGGAGGTTGACCTGGAATCTCTTGCCTGTTGTGTAAGTTGGCAAGAAAATCCAGTTCTTTAGTTGTTGGTCCTTGCTAGGTAGATTTGTTGCCTATTAACTGCGTAGATATACAAGAATACCCAGAAATTGATCCAATAAATTTAAGCATAACAATTCTGTCGGAATTATGCATCAAGGAAAATTTGCAATTAAGGGCCCTCCTCAGGCCGAACAACATTTTTTCAGGTAAGTGTGTTCGCTATTCTATCGTGTATTCGCCAGTCCTCGTTTGAGCCTGTTCGATATCCTTCTTGGATCTCATTTTGTTAGTGCTAAGCAATTTAGTTAGCGCATTTGAACGGGAAAAATCAAACGCAAACCACCAATGATTGATATTTGATAGCCTAAACATGGAGATTGATACCAACACTCTGATACTCTGCCAAGCAAACAACAATGCAGACAGAGTCACACATATATAAGCATCTTATGTACCATACAAAGTAAGAACGCTACACAGTTTCCAGATCCACTCCGGCGCACCATAAGCAGCAAGTCTGTCGTCAATCATACAATGCTTGTGTCGCCCCATTCAGAACCCGCCAGACCGCCTGGCGAGAAAACATTTTTCCGTCAAAAAACTCACCCTTGTCCAACTTAAAGCTCGATTCCAAAACCTGCATCAAACACCAAAACAAACCCGAATACACACAACAACAATAATCCTCTTCCAAATCCATTGTCGAAAAAGTAAGAATTGTTACCATTTACTGCAAAACAAGAAATATATGGCTAAAGTTGCTATGCAATCAACCGAAAGAGAGAGATAAAGTTAGAGAGCGCGTGAGAACAATCAATCTACATAGTTTCCACTACACGACATTACAAGCTACAAAGATTAAGCTACAATCGTCTCAAAGGACTCGAACCAAGCTAACGTGATCAAGTTCCACATTCCCTCAACACTTTAAGAACAAAAGGAAATTGTAAAAAGTGGCTCGAAAAGTTAAACACGAACTTACGACCAATTAAACTCACATAACTTAGTGCCTCTAAGATCCAAAAGCACCGGCAGCTATCATCCAATGCAACCCCACCATCTACGCCTCAGGGGATGGCATTCTCTTGGCCTTCTTCTTCTTCTCCGAAACCGCCTTCGCAAAAGCCTCCACAATTCTTTGCTGGGACTCCAAAATCATCTCCGTCCGCTTCACCTCCATGTCCATCCGCATCGTCTCAATCTCCCTCGCCATCTCCATCTTCATCTGCTCCATTCTCACAAACCCATCTCCCAAAAGCTTAATCGCCGACACCATCTCCGCCACGGGGTCTCTCTCCCTCTCCCTCCCATCTCTCTCTCTCTTCCCCAATCCGGGCCTCCCCGAATTCCCACTCTCTCTCATCACCTTTGCGCTACCATAACCCGACCCAGGATTCGAATTCATCCCGAATTTCTGATCCATCTTTGGATAAACCTTGGTCCCAGGCTGAGCTATGCTAACCCCAGTTGGAATCCTAATCCTAAACCCACTTCCGGGACCGCCACCGCCACCACTTCCTCCACTTCCACCCCCAACCCCAGCTCCATTCCTATACAACTTACTCATACTCTTCATATTCGACCCGTATCTCAGCTCCTCATAGAGCTCCTGATCCGGATCCTCCTCCTCTTCGTTCTCCTCGTTATCTTCCTCTTCGCCGAGACTTTCCGAGTTTTCCCTCTTCCCAGCTGCCGGCCCCTTCTCCATGGCGTCCATCCGCTTGAAGTGGACCCACGACGACGTGAATCTGGACAACGGCATCGACCTGGCTCGCTGGATCTCAGTCCGGTACCGCTTCCGGAGCTTCTCCATCTTGTGACGGCACTGAACGGCGGTCTTCGCCGGAGAAGCAGCCGGGCATATCCTAGCGATGGCGTCGGCCACGTCTTGCCAGTGGGTGGCCTTGAGGTTTCCGCGGCGGAGGGAGTACCACTTTTCGCGGTAGGAGTCGATGAGGGCGACGGTCTCATCGTGGGACCAGCAGGGAGGAGGGAGGCGGCGGGAGGAAGGCGGGGTTGGGTTCGGCTGGGTTTGCTGAGATTGGGATAGCGGTGGGGCCGGGAGAGCGAGAGGCACGCCCTGCGGTGGTTCCGATTGGAGAGGGAGGATCGAGTCGTCTTGGGGGGAGGACGGTGGAGAAGCCATGTTGGGTTGCAGGGTATGCGGTGGAGGAGGATGGGTTTTCTAGGGAGGGAGGAGGGGAAGGAGGAAAAGGGAATGGGGAGGAGGAGGAGGAGAAAGTGGTGTATGATAGCATGATTGTGGTTGTGGGTAGGGTGTTAAAGAGGGTGGGTAGGGGGTGGGTGGAGGGGTGTGCGGCTGATTTTGAGATCTAAAGGTGGGCGTGTGAGATGAGCGGTGGATGAGGCCACCGCTTAGGTGTGGGGTGAGGTGGCTAACGTGCGCCGGGGGGGGGCTAGGGTGGGGGTTGGGTTAAGTTAACCTACGCGCACCACCCAATAGAGAGAGAGGTGGGGAGGTGGGGGCAGGTCCACCTCCTGTCTGTCTGACTTTGCCCATTATCTTGTCCATTCTTCGATCATCGTCATCATTTGATATTTGTAAATGGGAAAATAGTGGTGTTTGTGTGACGGTGGGTGGGGTGGGGGAGGTGGGTGGGTGGGTGGTGATTGGGTGGACATTTTTTTATAGTGGGCTTTTGGGTTGCGGCCTTTATGGGTTTTTGGGGCGGTGGGGGAGCGTGAGGGGGAGGGAGGTGGGGGGACAAGAGGTGGTGGTAAATAGCATTAGGATTAGGGCATGAGAGGGGGAAGACTAATGGGGGACGTGAGAGAGCATTTTGTGGGGACTTTGGTTGGTGCTTCAACAAATTGGAACGGAGGGGGAGTTGTTTATTAACACATGTGGTCCAAAAATAAAGGGGGCAAACTTGTGATTAATCATGAAAAAAGAATCACATTGAAAGTGGAAATACTATTGTTGCCCCAAAAAAAGTGAAATTACTTTTGACATCCAACAATTTAATCACTTTTAGAAAAAACCTTTATCGCTACTTAATATTACAGTGTGGTGGTATTTCTCTTCACTTATAAGTAAGATATCTTAGGTTCGATTCTCAACAAATGCGAATTTGAACCACATTATTACTAACTCATTGTGAATTTATAAGTAAGAGATCTTAGGTTCGATTCTCAACAAATGCGAATTTGAACCACATTATTACTAACTCATTGTGAAGCTTAATTCATCCCCTTCCTTAAATAATATCATTTGCTATAATAAAATATAAAAAAATTTAAAAAAATAAAAAATAAAAAATAAAAAAAACACCCCTCTCATTTTCAAAAGAAAATGGTTGATTGTTCTACCCTCTAAAGCAGTAGGGATGAGCAATGAAGCCAAGTGGATAGGGGGCTTAAGGAGCCATTGATCAAGGAGAGAGCAAGTTGGGTTGTTTTGGACCCAATCTTCAAAATCTGGGTTGAGGTGTGTTGGTTTCGTTTCTGGCATCATCGGAGAGAAACGTGAGGTGGACAGGGAGAATAACCATCAACAAAAGACACAAGTTTCAGACTCTTTAAGCACGGGAACATTTTAGACCAACTTAAACAGGGTAATTGTTGGAGTCGAGTTTGACGTTGATGCCGTGAGAGACGTCAATAAGAACACAAGAGTCAACAGAAGCAGTTGTGGAAGTAGTGTCCATTGGAAAAATAAGTAGAAAATTTTCGGTGAGAACAGAAAATTAAAGGGATCAAAAGACTTTAGTCAAAAGGCTTTGGTTATGCATAGGGAAAATCTTCGGTACGTGGTGAAAGATGGAAGAATAATGTTTGAACCTCAACTCAATGAAACTGAGTGAGTCGTGCATCTCGTGTACGCGCGCGCGCACACACACATATATAGGCTTATTATATTAACACCCCACAAATTGTTGAATAAACCTCACATACTTAGGGCTAATTTGGTATTATTGTGCTTTGAAAAAAAAAAAAACTGTTTCTGCTGTGCTGTGAGAATAAGCAGCTGTGAAATAAAGCAGCAGAGTGTTTAGTAAACTTTTTTGTAAAAGTGCTTTTGAAAAAAAAAAAAGCAGTATTATAGTGTTTGATAAACTTTTATGTAAAATAGATGTGAAAAAAAGCTAGTTTTTCAAAGTTGGGTTTTGCAGCTTTGTGTTTTTGGTTTTTTTTCACCCAAAACTGTGAAAAAAAACTGAAGCTAAATATTTACCAAACTAGGGCTTAATACACCTCACATTTGCTTTTTCACTTAAAAATTATCTTAATACACCCCACATACTTGTCCATAATACCCCCACATCCCACATTCTCAATATACACCTTATGTTTTGTACATACACCCCATATTTTCTATACACCTCATATTTCTCAAATCTTATAACACTCATTTTTATTTTTAGGGACTGAATCTAACCATTTGAACGTTTAGTTTGCCGAAAGATTTCAAATCATCTAAACGTTTAGTTTGCCGAATGATTTCAAAATGATGATTTGCTAGGTAGGGTAACATCAGCAATGGCTTCATTGTTAGGTTTAACTTTGTGGTACGCAATTTTTGTTTTGACTTTCACAAACTTCATTTTTGCAGTGCGGAGCACTTGGAAAACATTGATATCCATTACTTCCAAACACTGAGAAATTGGAGAAAAAATTTCTTGTATGGACAAAGGTAAGGAGATTTCATGTAAACTCACATTGTGATCCCTAAAAAATGAATATGAATATAAAAGTTTAAATAACATAGCAAACGCAAGATTAAATAATTATCGATGTCATCGAAATCACTAAAACAATGAAAAATATGAAGTCTTACCTCATGTGAAGCTTCTGAAACATCGATTTCATGTTCCATTCGCCAAAAACATTTTTTCTCAATCAACATGTTTGTAGTTTCATTGGTTAGGGTTTTATTCAACAATGGAGGGTATGAGAGTTTTGATAGTTGATAAAATAAATAATCCGCTAAAAGTGATTTGGGGTGTATTTAGAAATTTTTATTTTTTTAAAACCTAATAAGGTCAAAATTGTCATTGCATAGTGGGGTAAATAAGTTATTTAATATTAATTTTTAATGTGGGGTGCATTCAACATTTTGTGGGGTGCTAATATAAAAAGCTATTCTTATTAGACTAAGAACAATTCTAGGCTCGGCCCAAAGTATTATTTTGGGCCCACACAGGAATGCTTTTTGAAACTCGTATTTATTTATAGTGAATTTTAAGAGGAATAACTATGTAAAACATGTGGCCTAAAAATTTAAAATAATCGGACTGAATAATGAGTTTGGCGCGCACAGTGCAATACCAACGATAATAGTCTTCATTCAAGCATTTTATTGAACACTTTCCGTGCAAATTTAGATAGGCGAATTCTTGATTCTGACGACTGGAGGGGGCGATCTCCCCTATTTACTGCATGGGGATCCTCTCCCATCCCTTTTTCCCTTCCCTCTATCCCCTCCTCTCACAGTTTTTTTCCTTCTTGCTCTCTCTACTTTTTTCTTCTATCTCTCTCTACAGGATGAAATCTTGAGCATTCGAACTGGAGGAGAGAGAAAGGAAGAGAAAAAAAAGATGAGAGAGAATCCTTGTCCCTCTTTGCTAGGGGTGGGCACTTGAAACCAAAAACTGAAACCTAAACAAGAATCAAGTCAAAGCGCACGGAATGGTTCGGTTTTGCAGTTTTGAAACAATTTCAGTTTGAAATCGAACCGCAATGTGGAAAAATGGTTTGATTTCGGTTTTGAACATTTGAAACCGCACCGAAACCAAAGTGCACAAAACTTACATATTTAATTTAATATCAATATTAGGTTTAGGTTCTAATTAGTTATTTGGTTCTTATTTTTAATTTAATACCAATATTTGGTGTTGGTTCTGATTAGTTAGTTGGTCCTATTTGTTTGAAAGACTGAAATCTTAGAAGTCTTGCACTTGCAACATATAAACATAGGAAAATTGAACCATGTATGTCTTGAAAAGTTTGGAGAAAAAAAATTCAAAGACAATGTGAGTGGTGTTAAGAAGAAACGTGAGACATGGGAGAACTAATGTGTAATTGAAAATGGGATATATACAGTTGTCAGGAAGGGCCATTGCAAAGTGGACAATATTGTGATATATAAAGTCATCTTCAACCGAATGAGGGTCAGAGGGTTCTCTTTAGCCTTATAGCCCTCCAAGAAATTAATATTTTAATGAATAGTAAGCCATGTTTCTTACCATCTCCAACCGAGGGGACCAAAGGGCTATAAGCCAAACATAGGCCTATGACAAAAAACCATCTCCAACCGAGGGGGCTAAATAGTCATAGGCCAAACATAATTTATTATTTTAATTGAATTACTATGGTTACTTAAATTAAACTACCTCGATAATTTTTCAAGATGTAATCTCAATAATTTTTCGGATAGGATTTCGAGTGACACGTGTTGCTAAAGTGAGTAACTCTCTAGATTTCTTGTCGATATGTATTCTCAATAATTTTTCAGATTGGATTTCGAGTTGTTTAATATTGTTTGATGTTGTTTAATATTGTTTAATATTATTTAATGGCATAGGTAGTTATAGAAAAAGAAAAATTAGAAATTTTTATTTTATTTTTAAAAAAATTGTCCCAAAAAAAAAAATCAAATCCAACGGCTACCTGGCATCATGCTGACGCCAGGTAGTCGTTGCAATTTAAACTTTGGCCAGCCTGGGGCTGGCTAACTGGCTCATTTGGGCTAGCTAGTTGGCCTGATTTGGAATTGGGATTACTTTTAAGCCCACAAATATTTGATTAGTAATTTAGACTTGTGCACAAAATATAAATATTTTAGTATGGTGATTATGAGTTTTTTTTAAACATTTAGTTAGCAAATTGTTTATAATCGAAACCAAAACTGTTTGAAATCAAACTGAATTGCAACCAAGTGGTTTGGTTCCATTTGGTTTGAGCTTCAAAACCACACCAAATCACACTACAAAAAAAAAAAAAAAAATTCGATTTCATCTAGAACTGCACCAAACCAAACCGTGTCCACATCTACTCTTTGCTTTAGTGTAGCTTCGTCCATGCCCACAATAGGAAATAAATCAGTCATAATCCAAAAGGCAAACCTCTACCTTGATGTTTTACTAAATCTTAAACCCATTACAAAAAAAAAATATATATATATATATATATAATGAAGAACGAAAAATATAAAACCTCTTATGCGTGGAATATTTCAAAAGTAGTTGGCTTCTCTAACAAAAAAAATAATTTAATGACTTTATTTAATAAAAAGTATTTGAATTTTAGTGAAAAAGACAAAAAATTAATATAATAAAAAATTAAAAAGAACCTAAAAAGGTCCACGTTCCTCTCTCCCACACTTCCTCACTGGAGAGATCTTTCAATGTGAACACAAGTTGATACATCCATACAAGTAAAAAAATACTTGTGTTAAAAAATTAACAATTTAAGCCATCCAATATTGCAGTATAGTGGGATTCCTCTTCACTTGTACGTAAGAGGTCATAGGTTCAAATATAGTAAATGGCGACTTCGATATCAAATTAGGTTATCCATTATGTAACTCAACCAAACTCATCCTTCCTTTAGTGTAAATTATTGTACTAAAAAAATTAACAACTTAAAAAATAAATTTTTCACCACTTATATAATAACACGTGACGTACCATCCGTGTTCTGAGGACAATGAAAAATTTATCCCTCTCCTTGTTGCCCCTCTCTCTTCACCAATCACTATCATCTGTCTCTCTCCTCTTTCACCCTTTACCATCATGTCTCTCTCCTCTTTCACCCATCATCATCATCATCATCATCATCATCATCTCTCTCTCTCTCTCATATGTCACTCCTTCCTCCCCTCTTTCATTTTTTTTTTGTGATATTTAAAAATTAGTCATATTTTTTAAGATATAATAATATGATTTATTCATCATAGACCAAAATTCAACAACCTTATTATTAACAAATTTTTCACACACTTCATAAAATTTTATCAATAATAAATCTTATTTGTTATCAAATAATAAATTTCTAGGAACAGTGACATTATTTTTAGTGGTCACCATTTTAGAGAGTGACACTAGTTCTAAAAACCGTGGTCACTAGTTTTAGAAACAGTGACAAAATGGTACCTGTAAGATCTCACATCGTCCAGGGGAGTGATCCTTAAATGTATATTCCCATCCCTACCTAGCACGAAGCCTTTTGGGAGCTCACTGCCTTCGGGTTCCATGGGAACTCCGAAGTTAAGTGAGTAGTGCGCGAGAGCACTCCCATGATGGGTGACCTACTGGAAAGTTCTCGTATGAGTTTCCAGAAACAAAACCGTGAAGGCGTAGTCGGGGCCTAAAGCGGATAATATCGTTCTACGGTGGTGGAGCGGGCCCAAGATGTGGTGGCAGCCCGGGTTGGGAACTGACACACCTTGATCGGAATTAGGGCGTAACCTTGACCGTGGTGTGCCGACGAGGATGTTGGGCCCCCTAAGGGGGGTGGATTGTAAGATCCCACATCACCTAGGGGAGTGATCCTTAAATGTATATTCTCATCCCTACCTAGCACGAGGCCTTTTGGGAGCTCACTGGCTTCGGGTTCCATGGGAACTCCGAAGTTAAGCGAGTAGCGCGCGAGAGCACTCCCATGATGGGTGACCCACTGGGAAGTTCTCGTATGAGTTCCCAGAAACAAAACCGTGAAGGCATAGTCGATGCCCAAAGCGGACAATATCGTGCTACGGTGGTGGAGCGGGCTCGGGAAGTGATCCGCCCCGGGCTGGGATGTGACAGTACCTTTTAAAAAAAAATTAAAAAACAATTAAGTGTTTTTATGAATAAAAGTTCATGAAAATATCCAAATGAATACAACAAATTGGGAAGAATTTGAATCACAAAAATAAGGTGGAGAATGATACACACATATATCTATATCTATATCTAATATATAAAGTGAGAATGATAAAAAAGTGAAACATTCAAAATACAAAAAATTGTCCTTCAAGATTTTCAAAAATTACATTGAACCAAAAGGATTTAAGGTAATTCACCACATTTTAATTTTGAATGAATTTTAAATTCAAAACTTACAACAAAAAAAAAAAACAAAAAACAAAACAAAACAAAACTCCCATGTCATTTTTAGTAGTTTTTTTTTTTATAAATAAAATAGTTATTTAAAAGATATAATCTAATATAAAAAGAAGAGAAATAGTATTGCTACTAATCTAACACCATTTGACTGGATTTTCATTCAAAATTAATACTATAGAAAAATGTTAATTAAGTCATTTTTGAAAAATATATTCAATCCACAACTCTTTTTGTTTTTGGTGAAAGGGTAAATATATTACCAATAAATAAACATTACAAACAAAGAGGCCCACAACAACTAAGCACAAAAGAAATAGTTGACCCCATAAACACTTACAATAAAGGCAATACACACCTAACAAAGCCCAAAGTAAACAAAGTAGCACAGTAGACACAAACCACAAAATTCCACAGAACGAACTATAGCCATCACCTAGCACTAGCGCCTGCCATCTCACCATCATGAATCCCAAGCTTGAGCCACACCACCCTCCATAGACCACCAAAACGACGATCGCGCATGGAACAAAGGAAGCTCGCGGGAAGAAAGATCCCACGAGCGACGTCGCCAACAAGGGCGAACATCAGAAAAAATCAACAAGTGTGAACACCTGAGTCAAAGCTCTACAACCTTCCCGTAGAAATGCCACTAGTCGTAGTAAAAGGAGGCCGAATTGAAGTGAGGATTTGTGGAAAAATAACGGAGCCTATTGTTGAAGATGTTAGAGAGGAAATGATCGAATGAGATGGAAGAAGTAGGTGATAAGGATGTAGGGGTCAAGATGGTGAAACTAGAGGCAAAAAAGGTAGCAGGACGATGAGAGCTTGAAGGCTAGGATGGTATGGGGACAAGAATGGGGTTGGGCTTCTGGCCAAAAACAGTAAGAAAAATGGAAAAAGGAAAACATAACGAAAACCAAGGATTGCCACTGACCTTGGCCATAGCTAAGGCCAGCGGTAAAATAGAGAATCGAAAACGAAAATCACTCACACTAAGGTGAGAAAAGGGAACTCACATTATAGCCACGAGGAATTCATATATGCTAACACTTGCCGCTAGATTCTAACCAAATTTATGTCCGGCCGGGCAATCTCACTTAACCACTTTTTTTTTTACTAATGTAGTGCAAATGCGCCAATAATATTTTGTGTGCTATTCCTCATGCCTGGTGCATTTATTTATAGTAATAAGGAGGAGAGAATAACTTACTCTCCAAGTAATACAAGTATAATAGGAAACATCTTCTAGATCTCAAAGGGTTCCTAATCTATCTTGAGTTAGAATTTACACAATCACACATATGCTAATAATGTTCACAACAATTTCGTATTTTTTAGGTGGATGGTCAATAATTGTCGATTAAAAACTATGAGATATGCCTGTCGCAATCTTTTTGTGTTTTTATTTTTTAGAGTATGTGCAATTTGTGTAGTGCTAGTAGGGGGGAAGTGTTTAAAAACTTAGGTATTCTGGTTGCATATCACTTCGCTTCATGTCTCTCATATCACGTGACTTGTCTTCGTCTCTCTACTCATATATATAAGTTATGTAAAAAAAAAGAAGTAGAAGGAAAGTTGAATGATATGGAAAATGAATAGCTGAAATTGAGAACAGGAGATTTAATAGTTCTGGAAATTGAATATGATGGTTAAAAAACTCGTAACTTCAAATGCTATATAGCATTATAGCCGGAGCAAAGAAAGTAATAGGAAACTGTTTTAGGAAAGTTTTTCCCATAGTACAGTGATCCATAAGTAACGAATGAGGTTGGAATTACAAATTACAATTACAATACATCTCAGCTCAGAATTTGTTGTGTTTTACATAACAAATTCAAGATAACTTTCTAGTGATTATACAACTAGCTGGCCAAAGGCCGAGCACCGTTCTTGTCTCAATTTATAGACAAATAACTAAGATGACAAGACATGCCTGTTTCTATCGTCTTTCTCTGCACATGCCAACAAGTTGTCGTTTAGACAAGGACATAGTTTTGTAGTCATAATGCATAACTTAGACTCTAAATTTGTTCTCTTGATAAATGAATGCATATTGTTGCTTAAATTAAGAGTCTAACAACATAAAATAGTAAATTAATTAATGTAAAAAAAATTATTTCGACAACAGACTTACATTCTCTTAAGTTAACTCGTCAAACGTTTACAACTCAATTGAATGTTTATCGTTTAGATTACTAGTCTTACAAAATAACATAATGTTTGATGACAAATTGTACAGTTCAGTACCAATTTTGTTGTTTTGGTTAGTGGGATCTCTCTCTCTCTCTCTCTCTCTCTCTCTCCCCCCGTCTCTTCCAACAGTGGCCCAGGGGTTGCACATGTTCATTGTTCCTATCTCAAGATCAATAGAACTGTCCAACAATTACAACTGTCAACACTAAATATAACTACAATAAAATTAAAACAGCACTCTTTTGTACACTATTATTCTATTATTTTTATGGTGAGCCGGACCTACCCATGTCACCAAATTGGGTTTATAATTCACCACTCATATCCCTTCCAAACCGTGACCAAGTAAATATCAGCAAATTGCCTTGCATTGCATGGCCAGCTATGGATCTTCTGGTGGCAAACCCTAAGTTAAAACAAGAATCCTAAACATTCATGGATAAGAACGAAACGAGTATATATCAACCATTAAGGCCAATTTAGAGGCATTGCTTTCCGGACTGTAAATTCAAAGACTCATCTCAACATTCTAAAAAATCTCAACTACAAAACTAAAAAACATATGACAGCCTCTTTACATATTTAAAGGAAAATATACGTTATTTTAGTGTACATATGTTGTAATCAGATTCGTTCATTCTCCTTGTGAATATCTTAAGAACATTTTTTTTAAAAATTTATTTGATTTGGAGATGAATTAATCATCCATATGAATCAAACAATTTGACGATTCATCGTAAGGATACCACAATTATTGATTTGTTTGATACAAATAAAAGACTAAATGGTTTCTAAATTAAATTAAATCTTATAACAAATTATCTTTGGATGATGAGGATGATGATGATTAGAGAAAAAGTAGTTGCGGTTATAATGTTTGTACGGTAAATAATTAAGGTGGTGCTATTCACTTACCTCTTTTTACCTTCCATACACTGTTGTTAATTTTTGTTTTTTGATATTCTTCAATTCGTTATATCCGACAAACGAAAATTAAGAAGATGTATAAAAGTTAAAGACAAGTGTGTGGATAGCACCCTTAAGTACATATTGTTACGTCATCATGTAAAAAGTAAAAGGCATTGTCTTACAGCCAAGTATGGTCTAAAAAATCATAAAGGAAAGAGAAGAGAAAAGAAGTACACAAAAATCTAATGTTCATTTTGCCAGGCCAACAATATAAGAAAATTACAAAAATCACTAACTCAACAACTACTTTTTGGACACCCTTTTAAGGGTTTAATGTCAAACAGCTAGCTGCTGCTGTTGTTGTTGCTGATGGGAGGTTTCATCCTCATCAAAGCACAAGTGGAGCTTTGGTGATTTGCCTAAAGTAAGAGAAGAATCCGCAGAATCTAGAGGTGGTTGCAACAGAAGCATCTCTCTCTGGAGATATGAACAGTAGATGGTGAAGGTTGAGGGAGTCACATTTAAGTTGAAGCTCAAACCAAACAGGAAATCCACTTCAAGAAAATTCATCTCTATTGTGCTTATTCCTCCAACTTTTGCATAATATGCATTGTTGTAGTACCTGAAATTTCACACCAGATAAATACAATAGATATTAGTTAATTCTTCAACATAAAAAAAATATTATCATTACAAAAACATTAGAGACATTTTGACTACGAGGCTTATGATACGCATATAAAGAAGACATTCTTTCCTAATTACCGAGGATATATCTCCATGTGAAGTATCTCAATCATCACGTGATCACACTCATGAACATAATTGGCCAGGGATGCCCCATTTTTTTCCCCATATTATGTTATTGACTTCATATAATCGACCAAAACTTATCAGATTAGGTCACCATGTGCACCTAGGTGGACACTCCATTTTTATAGGAAAAGCCAGGGTATCACATGGCTGGACTTAGGTGGATTTTAGAACATTGTTGGAAACTTTACAACCCAAACCAAAAAGTTATACATTTTTGTTCTGAAAATTTTCCATTTAATTAAAATGAGGGGTCAAATTCTGTCTATGAGGTAACTGCCTCTAATTTTTTTTTTTTTTTTCGAAGTAATTAAACGGTTTTTTTTTTTTGAAATTATGAAGATTACTAAAGCCGGAAAGTAAGCAAAAATCCGGATCAGAAAACAGTAGTGAGAATTCTGTACCACAGACACAGAACGCTTAACAAGGTAAAACCCATCAAAGAAAAACACAGTGAAATTCATTTTCTTTTTTCATCTACATTCATGCATGAAGCATTCATAATATCTAAAAGTTGCATAATTTGATGGACAGGATGCAAGTGAACGTATGGCCACCAAAACAATTGCAAAATCTTTTTGAATGCCTTTATAACAGATTTATTTATTTATTTATTATTATTATTTTTTTTGTCAAATAATTGAGCTCATGAGCTAGTCAAATTCAACTTCAGGACTTACATGTCATCCATGAACTTTGCAGCCACCATAACACTCGTAATCAGCAACCGATGAACGTTGAATGAGTTGATAGGCAACGAGGGTTGCCTCTGCGAAAACCGATCCAGATAAACGTACGCAACAATTAAGCAAGATGGGCTGCAATTGGCATACTTGAAAATCCTCTCTAGGTAGTTCTGTATTGAAATGGTGGGTCTAGTTAGACCATGGAAGACTGAGATTTTCTGGGGTTGGAAATGGCTGTTGAGGTCATTCGATTCCGTCACTCTTTGAACCAGAGAAGAGAGAAAAGTTATGATCTTTGTCATCACTCTTGGGTTCTCTAGCTCTGCCATTGAGATGATGACCAAGCTTTTTTCCTTTTTGAAAGAGATGATGAGCAAGTTTTGGTTCTCAAGTGTTTGAATTTTTATTGGTGCTTGCTTGTGTTGGCGTATATATATATAAGGGTAGTTGGGAATCAGTGTTTTACTTTTGTTTTTTGTTTTAGTTTTTTGGTTAAAGAAAGGAGGGAACATGAGAGATGATAGAGGTCAAAAAGAAAGGAGGGTGAATATACATGCATACAACTAAACAATAGTCAAAAGCTGTTTTTTTAGTTTTTCATATAACTCTATTAATTTTCTTTTGTTCTCCCATTTTATTCTTATTTGAACTAAAAAAAACAGAAAACAAAAGCATTTGGTTAAGCCTTTTTTTTTTCTTTTTTTTTTTTTTCTTTCTAGAGGACATAAAACAGGTATCCTTTCCTTAGATACCAAAATGGCCGCACCAATTTGAATTACGATTATAAATGGTTCCGATTATGAGGTTTATATAGTGAAGATACGTTAATCATAAACAATGAAGAAGAAATAGATTCTCCCATAAGTGGAACACAATTATTATTCATAACTTTATATGTCCTCATTTGTTTAGTAAAATTGTGACTTGTCTCATTTTTTTTTAATGTATAAGGTTTAGAATTGATCTCTAAACTTTTACTGTAGTTTCATTTTGGTCCCCAAAAATTTTAGACTCCAAACTAAAAATCCGTTTAATGAGAATGTACCCTTTTACACCAAAGTGGCCTCAAAATTTGAATTATATATGACTGAATTTTGAGTTAATGGTGCGTCTCTCTTATTTTAATAGGGAACCAGGCAATCCATCATTTCGGTGGTTGGGAAGACTCATATAGGCATTTCAGCCTCCCCTTGACCACCATCATGCGATTCACCAACGGCATGAATCAAATCTAGGGTGTGCCCTGTGGAATATGGGTCTGGAATTCGTCCTCAACCACTGAGTCACCTCATGATGGTTGAGTTAATGGTGGTTAAACAGTGTATTTTGTTTAGTGGGATTGTGACTTGTCTAGTATTTTTCAAACCCAAAGGTACTGAATTTTGAGTTGGGTAATGATTTTTCTTCCTTTTTTTTAACCTTTACATTTCAAACCATTTAAAGAGGGAAGAAAGATTGGATTAATGGTGGATTAATAGTGTCTTTTTCTACAAATAAATATGGGATTTTTCCTGCGATTTGGTGTGACAATTGTGATGGCATACCATACCCATCATGTGACTACATGTGGGGAAATTGAGATTGTAAAATGGCCGTGGGTCCCATTTTCTAAGAGATCTTGCATCTTTGCATGTGTTGTGATTCACATGCAATTGGGTGAGTAACATGGATTCGCTCTGTTGATTTACGGCATTCATAATTTGTATATATATATTGCTACATTTGTTGCAAGCAATAAGCATCCTTAGACTTCTAAATTTGATTAGGGATTGTGGGTTGGATTTAAGATTGCATCATGTGATCGGTATCTTTGGTTAACTAATATAAACAATATGCTAGATTCCCTGGCAAATAATGTGTATTTCATTAGAAACAAACACAGTCGAAGTAATGTAAATCAAGGTTAGTCAGAGCTAAGTACTCCGTCTACCTTTCTTTTGGTGTCTCTGTGGTAGTGATGCTTCGGTGCTGCATAACTCGTGAGGGAGCCTGCTCTGTAACGAAGCATTGCTCTGTTGTTTTTTTATTTTGCTTTTTTGGCTGTTATATTGAAAATCTCAGTTGATAAATAAATTAAAAAAAAAAAAAAAAAAAAAAACTACACTCAAAGTTAGTTCAAATTTGAAACGCTATTATATATTTGATGAACAAATTTGACAACCGCTCTTATAATTAAAGTTTGCCATTGCCACAAAAACGAGCCATACGGGTCAGATTCTTGAAAAATATGTTGATAGTTAGTAAAAAAAGTCACGAGATTGGCATGGGATTGTTGTCTGTTAATCAAATAGCAGCAAAGCAAAACAAAACGTCAAAATCCATAGACGGGCAAGTTTTGGACACGTTCAATCCAGCATATATAGCTTGCTTGAGGTATGAATATATAAATGGTTATAGCGATATGGCCGAATAAAGAACACGCTTAATCATATGCAAATGTGATATATGCCTTGCCATCTTCATTCTATGTTTATATTTTCACTATAGTAACTGTTCTACTACCTATTTAAAATTTCACAAAGTCACCTAGCCTAGCCAATATGATATGTCTTTCCTACATAAATTAATCTTTACTACGGTCTAGTGGTATTCTTCTTCACTTATAAGTAAGAGGTCTTGGTTGCTAACCCATTATAAGGTTAAGTGCATCCCTCCTTACTGAGTATAGATAATATTGTTTGTTTAAAATTAAAATAATAATAATAATAATAATAATCCCATAATCGTACACGGTCCTTATAAGTGGTGGGTTGTTTTGGTAGATATGGCATTTATTTCTCCTCAATCCAATGTGTCTCAGGTTTAAACATTTTCTCTTTGAGTTTTAACGATAAGGACAAAATAAAGGGTAAAATGAATATTACCAGGATTGAATTTTTAGTGTAAAAATGTGGTTTTTCGTTAAAGTGAACAGCATTAGGAGCTTTTCGTTAAAGTTTCCAAATATAAACTTATGCGGTACTGCATCAATGCTAAAATAAAAATGCTGCAGAGTCCAAATACTAAATACCAGGTAAAACGTTATGGGAAAAGAAAAGTTGTATTGTATAACATTGTCATATTATAGTGATGATGCATGCAAATTTGTGTGTGCGGAACAAAATTATTAATAAAATACATGCATACATACATACATATATATATTTCAAGGGATTAACTGTAACATTTTCAAATTTTATAGTATTACGCTAATTCAATCGGCTCATTTCCAATTCATTTTCTAACACATGTTTTACACCAACTCAATGCATGGCATGCTGGCAAAAGAATGAATGAATAAATAAGAGATGTTTTTACAGCCACTTAATACTATGGTCTAGTAATATTTTTCTTCACTTGTAAGTGAGAAGGTTTAGATTCAATTCTTGCCAAAGGCGAAGTTGAACCACATTATTATGGCAAACCTATTGTAAGGTTTAGCTCACTCCCTCACCCCCTTAGTTTAGATACTATCGTTTGTTCAAAAGAAAAAAAAGAAAGATGCCTTTACAGTAGTTTATATGTATGTAAGAATATGAACATGAGATAGGGTGTTTTGGCATTGTTATTGAAGTCCAATTGGTATAAGAAAACCTTATAAGAATTGATGAACTACTCCTTGTTAATGAAGGAGTTAATTTCATGTTAACATTGACAGAGGAAATACAAGCAATTTCCTATATGGATTCTAATAGGGAATCCTTATTATAACATAAGAAGGGTTATATATAGATATATGTTGATCTCTACTCTCACAGATTATCGCTCATTATTAGAACTAGGCTCTATTCTTAGTTTTGAGCAAACGGCAATCTGAAGGAGGAGAAGAATTACAGTTTGCAAGTTTAGGTTTTCTGCATTCATGGCTTCATCGAGTGCAAGTTCTTCAGGTCTGTATGCAGCAAGTTTTTATTGGTTCGAGTTTTGTTTATTGCTTGGTTGTGATTTGAGTAGCTTAATCAAAGTATGTGGTATAAATGTTTTATATGTGGTATTAGAGCCATAGGTTTAGTTCTTAAATTCAATCAACAAGAACAAAAGAAACTAATAATTAAACTAGGAGAAGGTTTCAGTTGTTAGGTTTCGAAACTGGTTTTATTTATTGGGATTAAAATTTTGAATTATACAAAACGATGCGTTTCGGTAAAAGATGATTATTTCAATTTTCCGACCGTTAAGAATTCTTCAGAATTTGTTTTGGGGCTTTTCTAGGAAAGAGAACCTTTTCAATTGTTCTCTCTCTTATCTTCGATTTCGTGTTTGGAGAAAGGATCTGGAATTAAGAAACAAATCCATATTAATTTAAGCTTCCGCTGCACGATATGGATATTCATCATTCACGGTATGTATTCTGAAACTCAGAGAAGAAGCATGAAATTCAAATTCAATTCTGTTTGAATCTCCTCATTTGATAAGATGGATTAGAATAGCAAAAGTACGATTGTTAATTTGAAATCTGATAAACATGCATATTGATTAACTGGAAAAGGAAAATTCAGATCTTGGGTTCTTAAATTAAATGACTGTTTTGTATGGAACAAGTCTTTTATTTCGAATAAGATGATTGTTCATGATTACCTGATATTCAGTTTTCTGGTAAAACCATTCATCCTATATGTGCTTACCAACTAATTAGTTGTTGAGATTATGTATATGGATAATAGTTATAATGTGCAATAGACTGAGAAAAGAAATCAGGACTCTAAAAGTTCATATTGTGATTTTCTTGATTCTTCAGCGTTTGCAATATCAATGAAGACTTTAAATTTAACAAACATCCCAATACTCACTAGTGGCAATAACTACAAAAAATGGAGAAGGGATATCAATTTGTTGTTGACTCGTAATGAGTTTGATATAGCAATTGATAATCTCAAACCTTTGGTTAATGATCAAAGCACTAGGGCTAAGAAGTCAGATCATGAAAGATGGACAAGGGCTAGCAAAGTAGCACTTTCTATCTTAGAAAGTGGAATGACTGATACAATAAGAGGTGGAATCAAGAAACCAGAACTAGTTATGGATTACTTAAAAGCAATTGAGAAGAAGTTTAAGGAGTCTAAGAAAGCAGAAGTAAGCCAATACATGTCCTTGCTGAATACATACAAGATTGAGAACACTGGCTCCATAAGGGATCACATAATGAAGATGACAGATGCTGTTCAGAAATTGAACTCCATGGATAGTTAATATCGGTAAGAATTAGCTTGTGTATATGATTCCTTAAGCCCTTCCCACAAAGTGTAGTCATTTAAAAGTCTCCTACAACACACAAGATAAAAGTTGGGACATAGATGAACAAATTGCACAATGAGTGCAAGATGAAACTCGGCAAAATTAGGAGAAAGGCAAGGAGATTGATGAAATAAACTTTGTGCAAATAATGGGGCTTTTTTTGGTCCTGGTAAAAATTCTAATCAGTTTAATGCATCCGCTAAAGTACTCTCCTAGAAAATCTATCAAATTTAAGGCTAAACCTAAAGATGTGTCTAAACTTAAGTGTTTTTGGTGTAAAACTAAAGGGCATCTAAAAGTCAATTGAAAGTTTTTTAAAGATTACTTAAAGAGCAAAGAAAAAGAACGAGTACTTGTTTGTGTTGAAACTAATCTTTGTGAAGTACCTGTTGATTCTTGGTGGTTTGATATTGGCTGCTCAGTACATATAACTAACTCTTTGGATGGTTTTCAAAAACAAAAGGAAATTGGAAATGCTTTATACAATGTTTTTGTTGGGGAAGGGACTAAAGTTGCAATAGATTCAATTGGGACAGTAAAATTAAAATTGACTTCTGGTTTTGTTTTGGAGTTGAAAGATGTGTTATATGTCCCTAAGATGAGAAGAAACCTTATTTCTGCTACTAAAATTGTAAAAGATGGTCTTTCTTTTCTTGCAGATGATATTTGTTTAAATTTTTTTAAGAAAAACTGTTTTGATACTATTTAGGAACTACTTTCTTGTTTGATAATTTGTGGCGTCTAGAATGCACAGTTGAGATGTTAAATCACTCAGTTTTAAATATTTGTTCTAAAAGAATGCTGTAGCAAGACACATCTTACATTCTCTGGCACAAAAGACTAGGACACATATCAAAAGAGAGGATAATTAAACTTTCAAAAGCTGATTTGATTCCAAAATTTAGACCTCATTATTGCAACTAAATGTGTTGATTGTTCAAAGGATAAAATGACCAATTTTAGGAAATTGGATGCTAAAAGGAGTCATGGTTTACTTGAAATCATACACACGGACATCTGTGGTCCTTTTCTAGTCAAAACAATATGTGGAAACAAGTATTTTATTAACTTTATAGATGATTTCTCTAGACTTGGATACACTTTTCTTATTAGTGAGAAAGTTGATGCCCTTAAGTGTTTTATAATTTATAAAACTGAGGTTGAAAAACAACTAGGTAATGTTATTAAAATTGTTAGATCCGATAGGGGAGGAGAATACTTTGGCAGGTACATTGAATCTGGGCAACAAAAGGGACCATTTGCATTTTATTTGGAGAAAAATGGCATTATAGCTCAATATACAACACCTGGAACACGTCAACAAAATGGAGTCTCAGAAAGGAGGAATGGAACCCTAATTGGCATAATTAGTAGCATGATGACAATATCCAAGTTACCAAGTTTTCTTTGCAGGGAAGCATTAAAAACTGCAAATTATATCCTGAATAGAGTTCCAAATAAATCAGTTTCTTCAACTCCTTTTGAGTTATGGCATGGAAGAGCACCTAGTTTTGGGTATTTTCATGTTTGGGGGTGCAAAGCTAAAGTTAGATTTTACAATCCTAATGAGAGAAAGTTGGATCCGAGAACATAGTCTTGTTATTTCATTGGTCATCCTGACAAATCAAAAGGGTATAGATTCTACATTCCTTAGGGCCACACTCAAATTCAAGAAACACATAATGCATTCTTCTTGGAAGATCAAGATGTATCAGACCTGTCAAGAGAGCATTTCATTTTTGAAGTGGTAGAGCAGATTTCTGGAGACACTACAAATGTTGGTTTCAATCAAGTCTTGTTATTTCCTACTTCCATGTCAACCAAAATAGATGATTTGGTTGTAGATTTGGATTCTGATACTAGCAACATCATGGAAATTGATCCCTCTGCAACACCTTTAGATAATGTTATAGAAACATAAGTGCCGAATGAAGTATTACCTCAGTTTCAGCCAAGAAAATCAACAAGGGTTTGAAAATCAATAGCTGCCAGTGATTATGTTTATTTACAAGAAACAAAATTTGATATTAGTGATGTTGATGATCCCCTTTCATACACTCAGGCCATGGAAAGTTCTCAATCGATTTTATGGCAGAATGCAATGAAGGATAAGCTAGATTCAATGTTCAAAAACAATATTTGAACACTTGTGGAGTGTAGTTCTCAAATTAAGCCTATAGGTTGCAAGTGGGTGTATAAAACCAAAAGAGATGCTCTTGGTCGAATTGACAGATATAAAGCCCGGTTAGTTGCAAGGGGTTTTACTCATATAGAAGGTATTGATTATAATGATACTTTTTCTCCAGTGTCCTCTAAAGATTCCATGAGAGTTGTCATGTCTTTAGTTGCTTATTTTGACTTGGAGTTGCATCAAATGGAAGTGAAAACTGCTTTTCTTAATGGAGACTTAGAATAGTGTATTTACATGAAACAACCAACTGGATTTGTTGAAAGGAGGAAGGAAAATATGGTTTGCAAGTTTGATAAGTCCATATATGTGTTGAAGCAGTCTTCTAATAAGTGGTATTTGAAATTTGATCAGATTGTTTCTTCTCAGGGATTTGAAGAAAACAAATTGGATGATTGCATTTACATTAAGTTTTCTGGTTCATAGTTTATCCTTTTGGTGCTTTATGTTGATGATATCCTTCTAGCAAGTTCATCCTTAGTTGTTACAAAGTACTAAAAAGATGCTCAGTGAGAGTTTTGATATGATGATCAAGGAGAGGCACACTATGTGTTGGGAATTGAAATCATTCATGATAGATAGAGGAGATTGCTTGGTTTATCACAAAAGAGTGTTGCTTCGATTTAATATGGAAAGTTGTAACTGTGGTCATGTTCCAGTCAACAAGGGACATAAGTTTTCAAGGAATCAATGTCCGAAGATTGATTTGGAGACTAAGAAAATGCAATCTAAACCTTATGCTTCTCTGGTGGGAAGCCTTATGTATGCAACAATTTGTACACGGCCAGATATTGCTTATATTGTAGGCATGCTGGGAAGGTTTCAAGCAAATCCAGGAGATGCGCATTGGATAGCTGCAAAGAAAGTTATGAGATATTTGCAAAAGACTAAAAGTTTCATGTTGGTTTATGGCAAATGTGATTCTTTGGAACTTGAAGGGTATACAGATTCGGATTTGGCTAGTGATGTGGATAATAGGAAGTCAACAGGTGGTTATATCTTCATGCTAAATGGCGGTGCAGTTTCTTGGAAGAGTGCAAAGCAAACTGTTATTGCCACTTCGACTATGGAGGCTGAGTTTATGGCCTGTTTTGAAGGAATAAAGCAAGTTGCTTGGTTGAGAAATTTTATGTCAGACTTAAGGATCATAAATTCAGTATAGAGGCATGTGAGAATGTATTGTGATAATAACTCAACTGTGGTCTTTGCAAAGAATAATATATAGAAGAACTTCAGCTTATAGGCTTATGGATGTAAAATTTCTCAAAGTCCAAGAACAGGTTAAGAAGGGAGTGATCAAGTATAACATATTACTACAACTCAAATGCTGGTTGATCCTCTAACTAAAGCTTTACCTATTAGAGAGTTTAAGTTACATGTTGCTCGAATGGGGGTGCTTGAGAGTTTTGATCAGTGGGAGTAGTCACTAATCTTATCAAGAGCTGAGAATTGCTGATGCAAAGAATAAAAGTTCTGGAACGGCTGATGCAATTCTGATGGTGTTAAGGTTAAATTATTTTCTGGTTTTAGCTAGCCTTGGTAGTTTTGTTTTGTGTTTCAATAAATATCTTTGTTTTGGAGCTCAATACTTCATTTGTGATGTTTTGCAGTTTTGAATGATTGTTTGAATTTTAAGATTGGATTCTTTTGATGCTTTGTAAACAGTTTGTCTGTTTAAAGCAGATCATTGTGAATTGTTCTTTTAATTAGCATTGGTTGATTTGCTCTTTTTTGTGATACATGGATCTTTTGAAAAGTGGGAGCAATTTAGTGTTTGATCATGAGCTATATTTGCAAATTGGGTACATGTGAGCTTTGAATTAATACTGTCATTTTGTTGTGTGGATTATAATTCTTGGTTTCAGTATTTTGAAATGCAGAGGAACATTGGTCATGATGGTTAATTCTTGATTAAGGTTATGTGATCACTTCTTAAATTGGTGATATTATGTCTGAAATAGGTCTCATGTTCAAGTGAGAGAATGTAAGAATATGAACATGAGACAAGGTGTTTTGGCATTGGTATTGGAGTCCAATTGGTATAAGAAAACCTTATAAGAATTGATGAACTACTCCTTGTTAATTAAGGAGTTAGTTTCATGTTAAAACTGATATAGGAAATACAAACAGTTTCCTATATGGATTCTAATAGGGAATCCTTATTATAACATAAGAAGGGTTACTACACACACACACACACACACACACACACACACACACACTACATATATATATATATATATGTTGATCTCTGCTCTCACAGATTATCGCTCATTATTAGAACTAAGCCCTATTCTTAGTTTGGAGCAAACAGCAATCTGACAGAGAGGAGAAGAATCACTGTTTGCAAGTTTTGGTTTTCTGCATTCATGGCTTCATCTGGTGCAAGTTCTTCAGGTCAGTATGCAGCAAGTTTTTATTGGTTCGAGTTTTGTTTATTGCTTGGTTGTGATTTGAGTAGCTTAATCAAAGTAAGTGGTATAAATGTTTTACAATGTATATATAGTTTCTTCTTCTTGATTGTAAATTGGTCTCATGCTAAAATAAAGGCTACCTTTGTATATGTAGATAATATCCAAGGTACAGCAAAGATCTTTTGTTTTGTAGACAATCTAAGTTCTCACTGTTCCGGCATGTTATCCCTTCATATATATAAATATAGACAATCTAAGTTCTCACGTTCTGGCATGTTATCCCTTCACACACACACACACACACACACACACACACATATATATATATATATATATATATCACCTTACGTAATACCTTTGTCCTTATAAGCAAGCACATATATCATCTACAGTACTCCACTAGTACCTTCTCCAACCTGTTAAATAATAATTCTAATTTTTTTCTAGTTTTGAAATTACTCTGTTAACAAATATTGGGATTGGACCATGTCTGCCGATCAATCTCAATAAAAAGGGACATGCTGTATCCGTATCGGATGGATTTAAACATACGGCCAATCAATTAATAGTCAACTACTCTACCATTGAGTTGTTGAGGAATAACGGATGAGCACGTACTTTTTGTACATGAATATGTGGAGCTCATAGTCATTCATGTACAAACATTTCTTAGGTTATTAGTAAAATTGCAAATACATAATAACCATCTTACGTGCGCACGCGTAATAATGTCTATATATATGCCCATGTTACTCGACCACTAATCATAATAATGTCATACTACACAATTATACTTGCAATTGCCAGAGTAATAGATGTTAACAAATTAGTATCTCTAAAAGTTTAAGCTGTCAGGAAATGAATCAACTATGTATTTCAAGTTCATGTACGAAAGTAAAGTAGGAGTGAGAAGGCAAAGATTTCCAATTGCCAAGCTGGAATCGTGTACTTATAGAGTTATGTTGGAGTTAAACCTGAGCAAAACATGTTTCACTGAAAGTAGTATCTCAGCATTTGTATTGGGATCATTACTCGGTAGCCTTGTCTATTGCATCCCAAACCCATGTGCTGTTCATGTTATCCGTCCCTCCAAAAAAAACAAAAAATAAAAACCCAATTTACATTGACGTCGTTGCCAGCATAATTTGGCATAAAAAAAAAAAAGAATAATCGTTTTGCAATTGGAAAATAAAATGGAAAATTTAGATCAACCCTACTAAAGTGTATTTAAACTAACTTAAATAATAGATTAATTTAAATCAAATTAAACTCGCAAGCGCACGAATCAATTGTAGTAATATATGCAAGTATGAGATCGATCCCATATGGATTGCTCTAACATCAATTTAACCGATTAATCACGCTAGACTTAATTAAACAAACAAAGGATAGATTGAATTGAATAATTGATTAAGACTAAAATTAACAAGAAAACAAAAGACAATTAATTAAAACAAACACACGACACAAGAAGAAATTAAGAAACAATGGAAGTCTAAGGTTATGAATCCACCAACAACAGTCCTATATACTTTTCCTAGAGCCAACTACTATCCAATTACCATGCCAATGTTAATGGTTATTCTTTCTAAGGTAAGAATTAATCCGTGGTTAGGCATCAACTCTTATATCTCTACATGATAATTATATCCTATTGGTTAGGCATACAATTAAACACATAAAAACCCATTAAGCATAGAAGAATCATGTCAAACAAGTAGGACTAGCTTGATATTGGTCATCCTCACTAGTTTGTCTACTCTTCTTAATCTTAGTTCCAATAAACCTAATTGATTGGTCATCCTCATAGATTTATCTAAATATCTAGATGCAAAATTCCTAAAGGTGATCAGTCATTAGAAATCCGAATTTAGAATAAAATACCCACAAAGATTAAGAATATAACATGGCATATAATGATATAATTGGATAATAATTAACAAAGTAATAATTAACCAAGTACTTCGCAAATATTCATGTCATGATTTCATCATAAACCTTAGAAAATAATTTAGTTACACATAGAAATAAAAATAAAAGAAAGATAGAACCCGGAATCTATGGCAAAGCACGTCCCTAAGCTCTTCTTCACTTATTGCGGAGATGGTGAATGGTAGTATGGTGTGGGTGATATGGGTATGCGGGGGATGATTGATATCTTCGAGAGAGCTTAGGGCACTTGTTTATACTAGAAAAACCCAAAAAGTTCTAAGAGAAACTCTCCTAAATAAAACAAACTCCTAAACAATTAATGACACAAACTAGGAAAGGGAAAACAACTTCTGCGGGATTGATTTGTAAAACTGGAACGTTTGGCTTCATGGAAAATTATGAAATTCGGACACAATGATCTTCAGCCTCTTAGCTTCCTTCTCCAACTGGCCTTGCATCAGAACTCTTTCGGAAAGTCGAATTATCACCAAAAACGTTCTAAGTGCGCAGATTGGCTGAAACTGAGACAAGGAAAGTAATAAGGTTCTTTTAAGACCAATTCGTTAACAAAACTTAGGGAGAGATGATATGAAAATATGATAAATAATGCACCAATCACCTACTACCACATTTTCTCCATTGTGTGTGCATGGTAGTGGACCTCATGTAACTTTAAAATATGAATTTTTTTTTTCATTTAAAAATACAGTTTAGTGAAATTCATTTTCATTTGTAAGTGAAATTGTTTTGACCAAATATCGTAAATGAAGAGTTTGATACTAATTTATTTCCACCTTTAATGTAAATATATTATTGTATATAAAAAGAATTAATAACTTCTTTGAAAGCCTTGGTATATGCCTAGATCTTGATCTTCCCTTAAACTAAGTTATACTAAAAATCAATATTATTGGCATATACAAAACGAAGGGAGAGCCGGTGGGTGGGAACCATGCATCTAATGATAAGCATGTCTAAAAAAAGATATTTCTTTAGACATTTATTTATGAAAAGCGAGCCAAACGAAAACAAGATTCAGATTTGAAAAATAAGATATGTCCATGCTTCTTTTTCGAGTCAATTTTGAAGAAAGAAACATTTTGGGGGTTTAAATTTGATGTACATAAGGTAGTCATTACTTACAAAGACACAATCTTTAGCATGGAAAACATGCATAAGTACAAGTTATATCATCCACTTCAACAACGGTGTTCGCTGGAATTGACGTAACACCTAAAATCCAAAACAATATGGATGATACTGATAATTGAGATTCAAAAATCTCCCGGCTAGCTAAAAGTTCGTTTGTTTTTTGAACCACTATTTAGTAAAAATGCAAGTGAATTTTGAAAAAGCATTTGAATTGCTTCCTACAAGAAGCACATAACTGGTGCTTTTGTAGAAAGTACTTTAAGTGCCTTGGAACTCATAAACATTTTATTTAAAAGCACTTTCAGTCATTTTAAAAACATTTTCAAACGAGTTCTAAAAGGTTTTCTAAAATTGAATTTGCTATTTGCTCTATCCATTAAACTTTGACTTCAACCTACTTTTGTTCTCCATTTTCTTTCACAAGGCCATGGTGGCCTTGTTCTTTGGTGTCTAGGTTTGTAGCGTACCGCAAACTATTCAATAGCCCAATGAACTCTAAGCTAAATTATATTGTTGGTCCATAGGCATATAGTCCAAGAAAAAAAATCATAATTTTGGAGTGAATAAATAAAAAAGATAAAGAAACCTAGATAAACATGTTGTGTAGAAGCAAAAAGGGATTCACATAAGTCATGTCTCAGTCAATTTATGTTGTATGATAGCA